GACGGAGTTTCTTCAAAAAAAAGCATCTCCTGCATCCCATTTCTATACTAGACAATATATTCAATTTTCATAAAATATTTTTTTTAGTTATTTTAAAAGTTGAGGGCAAAACGGAACTGATATTACAGGTCTGTTTTCTGTAGTTTGCCTATATCTTGACTCGAAACCAGTAGTTCGCTGTTTACAATATCAGCAAGTAACATTTCTGAAGAAACGTCCTAAAAAGTCACATAATTTATTCATTCACGAATTTTCCAGCGTCGCATGTTTACGCCATGCGATAACGCATATTCTTCATCATGTTTCTGAATGATGGCGGTGGAGCGCATGAATTTTGATAAAGAGACATACTGAAGTGAGTAGGTTTTCAGTATATCGATAATTCAAACCTCCAATGGTTCTTCTGATCACCACATTTTACAAAAAGCAGGTCCAGATGGCAGGGGTTGCTATCGCTCAAATTCTGTAATGAATTTTATGCGGCTCTTTCCGCCGTTCAGAGGTGTAACTTGCGTCTATGATCGACGAACCTGGCTTGGAATAATGATGATCCCAGTGTTGGTAACGAAGCGCGTCAACCATTGGTAAAACCTTTCCGTCCCCCTTTGACGTTTCGGATCCTAACTAAACATTAAGAGACCAATCCGTTAATGAATTACAGGCCCAGAATCAAAAACTCTATGAGGAATTGAATGAAATTACGAATCGAATGAAGTTACGAAATTTTAGGAACCCAAAACGGTGTCCATTTTTCAATGTACAATGTAGACGTTAGCCATATATAAGAAGAAGCTTAATCTTCACCGATGATTGGAGAGCAAAAACGTTGTCTATAAAATAGTTAAAAATAAGTATAACCAAATTTATATTGGCTATTTATATTTATATACTTCTAGAGGGTTTAAAAACGTGATTAATGGAAACAGAATAGCCAACAAGTATCATAACACATCGTTCTGGTTTTGTTACTCATACTTTGGAGTACGGACATGACTTTAACAACAACGATGAACTGGGGTCTATCGACACCGGAACAAGGTGAAGCTATTAATAATGGAGCCAGATCACACTGCAATATAAGCTGAAATACAACTTACAACTTACAATGGTTGCGTTGGCTCAACTGCCATTTCCGCGGTGTGGAACATGATTAAATGGAACCGGTCTAGCATCCAACAAACCGGACCAGGCATCAACTGATAGAGCAGTTTGATTATTTTCGCATTCATTCCTTCATTATTCGGCCGCAACGTAGGAATTTTTGTAGGCAACTTTCTTGTTTCTCGAGCCACCAATTACAGGATCAGAAGACCTATCAGCCTTGTATCAATCTTGTTTTTTACCCACCATTCGTACAATTTATACGTGCTTCTGTCTGATGACATATTCTACATCGAGCAGTGGTAGCAAAGAAGTCGGCTTGGAGTTCCGGAAGTGCTGGGTGGGATCGAACCACGAATTACCCTGATCAACGAATTTACCAAACTTGTTTAGCTACAACCAGCGGAAAAAAAGGATAGCAAATCACTGACTTGCGAACAACAAGGATAGCATGGAGATCAGGTGTGGTCATATGAGAACGTGCAAAAGGGAATAACCACGCTATCTGAGGCAGGTGCATTATAGGGCTGCATATCACATTTCACCACATGATAACTGCTTATTCGATACGATAATCAGCAGAACGGTGTGATCTCCGCTGATATGAGAAGCCGACATGCCGTCAAACTACTCCAAGTGCCCAAAAATATAATAACTGCGAAGAACCTAATCATAAAATCCGTTTCTTTTCATAATAGTAGTTGTTCCGGGTGTAGCACCTGCTACAGGGAACAACAACCGTAGTCGTAACAAAAGCAATCGCAGCGAACTCTGCTATACGGCTTATCGAAGAATGAGGCGAATCGAAAACAATTATAAGTGTACAAACCTAATAAACACATCAAAAACTGGTTTTCTATATTGTACAGAAATATGAAATAACCACCAAGAACTAATTACGGAAACGATGAGACAAAATTTCGATCTTGACGTCTTACCTGGTTCAGTAAACGACGGACCGCAAGTAATACCTTCCTGGTCGAACTGCCTGAAACCATTATTGACAGTCTTTTCAACAGAACAACGCATCGGCGTACCGGATAGTCTTTACATCAGCAAAGCTCACTCGCCGAATTGATCGCCGTCCATCCGATCCTTCGGGTTCTTCCATATTCACTAAACTTTGAGCTTCAGAGAAAATTTTAAAATAAAAGTCACCATCTAATTGCACTATATCCAAAAAGAAATAACTGTTTATGGAATTTAATCATATACAACAGAACAAACAATTTCGAAAAGACTAAAACTGCATCACTAAACCGTCACCACGACCAACTTCGTAGAATTTCTAAGGTACAAATTTTGAATTATTGTAATTTGTACCTGATAACTAATCATACTGTACTAATCCACAGGTAAAAAATATATATTATAGCAAAGTTACGGATCATAATCAACAACATAGTAACAATTATTCCACTTTAGTACAGACGCACTAAATCAATCAAGATCTATGTAGTGGCTAAGAATGTAATACGGAAATAGCTTAATTTACAATATTAATGTAAACGGGACAAGATTAACTTGTCGGTAGGATGGGATCTCGGGCGGCCGGAATTTGCAGCCTTTTCAGCTACTTAGCAAAACTCCTGGGTTGCGTCGGGCTAAAGTATTGATTATAATGTTAAAAACACGATTCAGTATAAATAAGAAACTTGCGTGCCTTAGAAATTATAAATCATTAAATAGAAAAGGCTAATTTTTAGTTACGTACGGGTAAGTCAAGGCAAACTGCAGTAGGAAAGCGCACGCATTCGATATCATGACAGTGTGTTTCTTGCAATCTGACACCATCGCAGTAAAAGAGCATGCTAATTCCATCATTCTCATGTCAATCAACTGCTACCAACTTTTATCTGATTGCATCGAAGCACGGTGATATGAATCCCCTATGGGAAATGTAGTTAATATCGGTAAACCAATGCGGCTTGTTGGTTTTGAGTCAAATGCTTTTTAACCGCAAGCAAACAACCAACCAATCGTGCAACTCTTCCGTCATCCTCCCTAGCCAGTGAGAAAGCATTCGTTAGCTTCAATGTACTGTTCGCGTGCAGAATCCCCAGAATTTTGAATAAACAGTCGTGAATAAACAATTTACTGAGGGCGCTACAAACTTTACATGTACTGTTACAAATAATATACGCGACTCAAAGATTTCTCTTATCCCCCTTTAATCCCATTTAGTAAGGATTTTACTTACCGTTCTTCAGTGCACACAGCATAAGTACGATTTGCAGTTCTTTGACTTAAGCATGATATTCTCGTGTGATAATGCCACGATGTCAGAGAAGCTGTCATGCTGTTTGATCATTCGATCAAAGTTTCAGCACGATTTGGCACTTCTGATACACAACCAATGAATCACCACGGAATGTAAGCGATGAATAGACGGCATTGAAGAGAATCAGGCTCTGGCCATTAACGTAGAACTTTTAAAAATACGTTTTATGGTGTGGATGCAATAAAATCTAGCTTTCACGAACTGGATAGGTTAACGGGTACTCTAACATCCCACTGTTTAGTCTGATGTATGGACTGAGATCAGATATGATGGAGCCGTAGATTTAGTCAGCCATCTCGCGAACCGACTAAAAGCAAGGGGACATTGATACTCCAGGTAAATTCTGCACCAAATTGAAACGTAATATTTGCTTCTGGAATTTCAAGCTGTCATTAGCGACAAATAATAGATTATCGGTGTAATATATCTTATTATAACTAGGAATGCTAACCTGAAAATCGTTGTTCCTGTTATATTTAAACTTTTTTCGTGTTTTTTGAGATCATTTGCTTGGTAAACATAAAAGACGAGTTAGCGTTGTTGCGTATTTTAGTGACTACCTTGAGTTGTCTGAATTATGTAACGGTTCAGAATGGTGAAATTCATTGCACGCCAACTTTTTAAAATATGTTTTATGGTACAGTGTAAGGAGCGACAGTTTACCGAATGTAGATTTGCGCCAAAATGACAATGCCCAAATATATTTGTAATGTTTTTCTTTAGGTTATTGATTGTCGTTATTATATCGCCATGCAACGTCTCAGTGAAACTCTATTTCGAAGTCTCTTAGACCAGATGGATACGTTTCTTTTCGATTGCGATGGTTCGATTTTTATTCCACGTGGCGTTTTGGTAATTTTTTTAAAATTTAGGTGTACTTTGGAAAGTGAACACTGCTTTAAACGGAGTTGCCGCTTCTTTAGACCTTCTTAGACAGCATGTAAGTGCTTGATGTTATTAAAACTTATGACAATGGCCATAAAATGAACTACTTAATAATCTTCACTGATGAACTCGATTGCTTTGTAGTCTTGTTACTAGCTACGAAGATTTGTGAACAAAATCCAGTCGCTTTCATTTTTAAGCTTTTTACTTAGCTCAGCGTCAGGTCCCACTAGTGAAGTCCTGGCAACGTTAAAAATAATGGCATGCGCGGCAGGCTTGTGGTTGTTTGCTGACAGTCATTTGGATGAACAGAACATCTGTAGTTTATTATGCCCGCTGTATCCCCAGATTCAAGACACTGGCTATGACGCCCCTGTTGCTACGTCGTGGAAAGAAATATTCTTCTCCGAAAGCATACTTTATTCTTTTGTTGAATGCTAGCTTCTTGGTCAATCTCTGGTTCCGTGCATCAGGCTCACGATTTAGAGTATATGGCGTCTAATCGACCAGTTTGTCTAATTGGGTCAACATCCTTTTCTTTAATCTCTGCATCTGCTGAGGTCGTCTGTGCCCGTAAAGGAATAGAGTCGTTTCTTGTGTGATTCTGCCCGTTAACCTTCATTAGCCATAGAAACTTATGCAGCTCAACCGCATCGTTCTTTCTCCATTAGAACAGGCCTAAAATTAACTAAAGTTAGCTAGTTAGCTAACATCTAACTTCTTTGCTTAAGTCACAAGCATTCCTCGAGGATGTCAGGGTACACAGAGTGCTGAATGAAACAGCGATCATGAGTTATTAATTGCAAAAGTTAAAATCCACGCGCAGTGCTTGATCAGCGACAGTAGTCTAGCGCAAAGTTTGGAGTCGGCAAGCTCAAATGCTCAGAAGTATCAGAACCATGTCAGGTTACGACTGATACAAAATTTGGGCAACTCTGTCAGTATAAAGGAAACGCCGGTGGAAAAGCTGAAAACACAAGAAAGTAACAGTATCACTGACAGAAGAGCAGTTGGGACCAGTGAAAAGATGAATGAAGGAATCGACGGATACATTTAGTATCTTGACGGTTGCAAGAAAAAAGCAGGCTTTCCAAAGTTGATGATAAAATGGACTTAGGATGAGGCGTTTTAAAACATAATTAAAGCTCATTAAAGACGAAGATAAATCACATTTCTGGAATAGGCTAACTGAAATAATAGGTACTGCTAGAAAAAGAGATGGTAGAACCTTGTTGAGGAAATCACTGTCCATTGCTACTTCAGAAAAATAGAGGTTTAAGCTAACAACCAATGCGAGGAGTTGGTAATCTCGCATCTGACCGTCAGAAGTCGTAGAAATATGAGAAAAATGTTTTCATTCCCTATTTAACTCTGATGCGATTGTGAAACAAAACTGATATTATAGGTGGACTGAAGAAGGATGCCGATGTTGTTTCTTCGATTCTTGAATCAGTGAATGAAGCTTTAAGCTAAAATGAGTAGGAGGTGTGATGAAACAAAAGCGACTTAGTTATTTTGTTAAGAATTATTAGTTTCTTGTCGTGGTTTAGTCCTACCGATTGAATCTCAGAAAGTGGCGGTGACAGAATTCTATTCCGCAGCGTTCATTAGCATATTGTGCTTGGCGCAGTAAACAGCCAAAAATGCGTAGAAGCTGCAAGGCTGCATGACATGCATCGCTGACAGGAATACTGTCACTAGCAGTTGCTGCCCTAACTTGACAAACGGAGGTTGCCGAGTTTGCTGTATGTTTTGCTTTATATATAAGAATACATTAAGTTATTTTCTCATCAGCTATCACTTATGTTAATTTTCGAAATTAATTTTTACTTGCAAAGAGAAATCATTTTATACTGTTAAGAACAAGCGCATCATTTTGGTGACCAACAACAGCAGCCATACCCAGAAGTCGTATTTTGAAAAATGTCGCAAAATGGGCTTCAGTATCCAGTCTGAGGTAAATAAGTGTGCACAGCTGTGTGGTTACTTAAAAATCTTTGCTCTAATATTCGTTTCAGGAAAACGTTGTGACAACCTCAACGGTGTGCTGTGACTATTTGAGAAATTTTTTACAATATTCTGGAAAAGTTTACGTTATTGGCAGTCCGGGTTTGGGCGAAGAACTGGTACGCTTTGGATACAGCCATCTAGGCATCGGGGTATGGTTAGTGCATGCCATTCATGTGAAAATATCGATTACGAAAGGTGATTTCGTATAGCAAGATGTCATAAGCAGTTACAATTTGGACGATATTGGTAGAACGACAAGTTTCGATCCAGAGGTATGGTAGTTCTGCTTATTATCACTTGATCACTTTCCTTGTCTTTTTCGATGTCCATTAAGTGTTGTTTCTGTTGCGATTGACTGGCTGATTTCCGTATTATTGTTACTGCTGTGTAGTTTCTTATTCTAGTGTCTGTCCGCAGCTAATTATGCACAGAGGTCATATGAATAAGGAATTTGGCACTTTTGGCTTCCTGCTTACTAAATTAATATTTGACGTTTCTGGTTTGCAATGAATCAGATAATTTTAAAACCATATAGGAGATTAAAATAAAGGTTTGCGATAGCTGAATTTGATTATGGTGAAGACAAGCCCAAAATTGCTGAGATAAATTATTCTGTTAGAGCGTGAATTCTATGGCATAAACGCTACTCATAGATTTCATGTTGTATTGTTTCATTTTTGCTAATGTTATTTTCGTGTAGCCAGCACCTATTGCTTATTGAGGAAGAATAAGGGAGGCTCTGGTAAGAATATAAGAGAATGTAAAGAGGGCTCTGCCAAGAATATAGCAGTACTTTCAAATGGTTCTTTTAACGACCATCGGAGAACGATAATTTGATCATTCGCATCGTGGAATTTAGCCGCTCTAGAATATGTCAACTGAAGATTGTGCTATATGGACGTAGATTATAACTGCAGTGATATATCGAGCTGCCAACCTGAATTTTTGTGTAATTGTGCAAGATATTAGGAATGCACCCTTCTGACGTAGCATGGGTAACAAATGCAAAACGCATCGATGCGCAGATGGTTCTTAAGTGCTACGAAACCATGGTCTACTCAAATGTCTCGCTAGGTTCCTATGGGTAACATGGTATTAGAGCTACATTGCCTAAATCTGTTAGATGAAAATGTAGTTATTAAGAAGGTGCTTGATGATTTATTAGTTTTTCACTATTCATTAAATTTAATTTTCGTCTGTCTGCTTGAAATGATTATTCGTAGGTTAAAGCTGTTATCGTCGGAATCGATGTGCACTTGTCTTATGCTAAAGTGCTAAAGGCCACTACATACTTGGCAAATCCAGAGTGCCACTTCTTAGCTACGAACGACGATGCTCGTTTCCCAGGCCTTCATCCGTCGATCGTTTTTCCCGGTAATGAAATACTTTTATAGGCTTGATCGACCGTACTATTGCATTAGCATAAATTGCTTAATGCTCAGTTTAGGCGCTGGCGCTATGGTTGCCGCAGTGAAAACGTCGGCTAAGCGTGAGCCCATTGTCATGGGCAAACCAAACAAGCCAATTTTCGACTATGTGAAGTCTCGGTTCAACATTGACATAAACAAAACGATTATGATAGGAGATTCGTAAGTAATTTTGCTGCGTACAAGTTTTAGTAATGCTTTTAGTACATCTCATAAGTTCATGGCGAGGGGAGGGGGGGTCAGAACAAACATAAAATACGGGTCTAAATACCCGGCGATGTCGATTCTGCTCAGCCTGTGTAGTTTTGCCGAACATCTGCATTTAATTTCGAAAATTTCGCCTAATGAAGTAAAATAATAATAACTAAGCATAACCCGTAATAAGCATCGACGAAAAAAAATGCGCTGCGGACAGTTCACGTTTGCGAATGCTTTTAGTTTATGAAATAAATCAGTGTGCTCAAATCTCCGTCGCGAGACCAGTCGGCCAGGTGTGGAGGAGAAGCCTCTGAAGAGGAGGTACCTGTGCCTGAACTTATCCAGGAAAATTCTGAGTGAGCTAAACATTACGGAGCTGTCACCAGGAACCCCATTCAGTCAGGGTGAATGACAGACCTATCCAAGACACCAGAGAAACGTTGACAGTAGCCAAAGCCATTCGCAAGGACCGAATGGAATCGACAG